ACCTAAATGCATTCTGAATACCACTGCAGACACAGCATACAAAGATCACCTACAGACAGTTATGTAACACAGGTCATCAGATGTGCCAGCTGAAGTTTACCATTTCTCTTCCTCTTCCCCCCCCCCCCCCCCCCCTTTTTTACAACTGGACTGACATAGCTTTTAACATGTACTCATTTTGACAAGTAACCATGCCATCAAAGGCAAATGAACTCACATACTGGAACAAACTTATTGGAACCTAGAATTTATTCTTTTCACAAACAAAAAAAGGCTTATTCTGAAGTAGATTCGAATAAATTTGTCCAAAGCAATTCCAGCAACATGCACCCCTGATCATCTACTTTTGTCTACCCTTCTTTTTAATAATATTACAGATGTTCGTTGATAAAAGGCACATTTGGCAGCTACTAAAATCATCATGCATCTGGCATTTTTTTTTTTTTTAATTCTTTTCTTTATTTTTCCCTTTCAATTTTTCAGCTGCCCAGTACAGGATTTCACATTTGCTGGCTAGAAAGTGAAAAAAAAAAAGTGACTTACTCTTTGTTTGCCTTATAATGCTGCAGCAGTTGGCTACTTAATGCACTATTTTCCACTGAAAGCAAAAGGGAAATTTGCTCACAGATGACAGAAAAATGCACTTAAGGGTGTTTTTTTAAATGGAAAATAAGGCATGGACTTTACAAAGTAAGTTAAAAATACTTTTGTTTTTACAACTATATTGGGCAACAAGTTTCTCTCCTTAATGAATAAGAGCTAAAGAGGCTTCAGCCCAAGCATCACCTAGGCTTTGAAATGACAAATCAACAACTAAAAAAGGGTTTTTGAGGTGGGGGGGACAACCCATAAGAATTTGCAAACTTTTTAATATCTTAAAACAGTCTTTTTGAACAAGTCCCTCCTTGCTGGCTGGAAAAGGCTGCAAGGGGAAAGTCAAGGAGGGACTTTTACATACTGCAGCTAACTGCACTGCTCACAGCAGCAAAGCATTAAGAAACATTTTGTTCAACTTTCACATAATTTGTAAGACAAAGATTCATGAATGAGGGGCTCTTTCTAGTTGAGCTTAAATTGCAGCAATGCTAGAAATACCAGTAGCGGAGGCTGCCTCTGTAAAATGCCACACAAGGTTGAGCAAACGGCCACAAAGAAGGGAACTGATGCTTATTATAATGCACTGGCATCAGCACACAGCCTGCTATGACGCTAATTTGTTCTAGCACTTCTTCAGGCTGAAAGAATGTATGTAACAAGAGAAAACCTTCTCCCTGCAGCACAGTAATCTACTGCCATCAATAGTGGTACCTCCAGTGACATCATCAAGCTTCAATCAGACCCAATTCAACAGAAAAACTAATTTAAGATACATGCAAAAGAAAAATAATTAAAACATCCCATGATGTCAATCTAAATCTTGAACGATCTAAATCTAGTGCATTAGCATAAACGTGCTCCGAGACAGACCTCTCCCTCCCTAAGAGAGGCTCATATTAGAGAAACAGGTTAGCTCACATTGGAGACCGCTTCTTGAGGATGGACCACTCAGATGCTTCCATGGCATCGATCCTGAAGCCAGATAATGTTCTCCATTAGCAGACAGTTATAGAAAAACTTTGCCTGGGCTGCTGAATGTCATGACAACAGCATGTACCTTGGGGTCACCAGGCAGCATGATAGCTGACTTTCCATACAGCATGCTGAACAGAAGTAAATGCATGGCACTTGCAAAATCATAGAACAGTTTGGGTTGGAAGGGACCTTTAAAGGTCATCTAGTCCAACCCCCACTGCAATACGCAGGGACATCTTCAACTAGATCAGGTTGCTCAGAGCCCCATCCAACCTGACCTTGAATGTTTCCAGGGATGGGGCATCTACAGCTTCTCTGGGCAACCTGTTCCAGTCTTTCACCACCCTCATCGTAAAGAATTTCTTCCTTACGTCTAGCCTAAATCTGCCCTCATTTACTTTAAAACCATTACCCCTTGGCCTGTTGCTACAGGCCTTGCTAAAAAGTCTGTCCCCATCTTTCTTATAAGCCGCCTTCAAGTACTGAAAGGCCGCAATAAGATCTCCTTGGTGCCGCCTTCTCCAGGCTAAACAACCCCAACTCTCTCAGCCTTTCTTCATAGGAGAGGTTGTTCCATCCCTCTGACCATTTTTGTGGCCCTCCTCTGGACCCACTCCAAAAGGTACATGTCTTTCCTGTGCTGAGGTCTCTAGAGCTGGACACAGTACTCCAGGTGAGGTCTCACCAGAGTGGAGTAGAGGGGCAGAATCACCTCCCTCAACCTGATGGCCATGCTCTTTTGATGCAGCCCAGGATACGGTTGGCCTTCTAGGCTGCAAGCGCACATTGCTGGCTCATGTCCAGCTTTTCATCCACCAGTACCCCCAAGTCCTTCTCTGCAGGGCTGCTCTCAATCCCTTCATCCCCCAGCCTGTGTTGATACCTGGGGCTGCCTCGATCCAGGTGCAGGACCTTGCACTTGGAATCCTAGCACTTCCAAATTCCCAGAGGGCTTTTCTGAGCTAACACAAAACCATGACACTCTGTAAGAAAATGAACAAACTCAGCTTACGTTCCACTGTTGCACTAGACTACATATAAAGCAGAAACCCTGAGGTGAAACGGCACAAATTGTTAAGTACTGCACCTATAAAGTTCTGCTGACCTCTAGAACCCTGCCTACACAGTTTGCAGTTGATTAGGCTCACTTTTAGTGATACATCAGCACTCTAGGGTAATACAGCAACTCACCTAGCCTCCACACAAGCATGCTGCATTGTCCAGGCCACACCAGACTACCCAGGGTCATTTTACCAAGGAGCAGAGAGCATCATTAAAATGGTTTCATTTTCTATGTGAAAAGTATTGTCACTAATGCAAACATAGTCCAAATAAAAAGTCATTCCAGATTAAATAATTATTAATGCAAATAAAGCTGTCATTAGACAAACCAGTGGCTTAGCAGTTGTACTCAAAACTCCCATTCTAAATGCAACAGGTTTGATTCTCACCCTGTATTTCCTGTTTGCAGCTGAGTCAACACCATGACTTGTGCACTGTATGACTGACCCATTCTGCTGGGCTCCAAAGCACATTTAAGTTAGGTTCTTGCATGGTGACCATTATCACCCGTTGTCAGAGAACCTCACCAGTAAAGGACTTTTATCCTGAACCACAAAGATGCAAAACAGCATTCCCCATTTCAAAAAGGGAAACAGAGACTTCCTGACATTCAAGAAATCTGTGATTAAGCAGGATCCATGTGAGGTCTCTCCTTCTAGCAGAGCAGCTTAATCACTGTATCATTCTGTCTGCCTGGTCTGCCTTGGCTGCAAAACAGCACAGACAAGAGTGTACAGAAGACAAGATACAGATCAGAAAGTCTAAATTGGCTGAGTTTTTCACTGATGACCTAACAATTTAGATGACATTGCCAACAGTACACCCATCATGGTGTTTATATCCAAAGAACTGATAACCTAAACTACGCCTACTGTAGCTTGAGGGTTTTTACAAAGCTCCCATATAATGTTCTCCTCTGAAGCCAAGGTTTAGAAATCATCACTACTACTTCTTTTGCCAGGAAAGCGTTTCAAAACAATGTTTTAAAGACATCAAAGAACGAATACAACTGACAAATTTCAACATATGACTATGACAAAAACTGCCATTCTTGTTGATGAAATCAGAACACTTTCTAAAATGTAATGACCACACTAAAGCATCAAGGGGCACTCATCAATGGCATTGCAGAAAGCATTAAAAAAAGGTGATTTCCATCGTAATTCGACTAACACCATCCCTAATGACACAGCCTTCCAAGATGCTGAAATGTATTCTTCTCCTATAGAGGAAATGTGATAGAATTTTACTTTGACCCATGATCCATATTAACTGAAGATGAGATACTTTACGCTTCACATACATACTGAAGTGGAGATTATAGAGCTTCTTTTCTTCAATAACTGCCACGCATTACTGTCATAGTATTGTCTAGAGTGGAAGAGCAGTACAGAGGTTTATGGATAATCCATGTCATGATACTTATACCAGTACATGTTCCATGTATTTTGGACATAGAAAGCTACTGTAAAGATTAACGTAAGTTTGAATTTTTCTAACAAGTGTCATACAGCAGGTATGAGAAGTTTTATAATGTGGAATAATTCACTTTGGGAGTAACCCAGCTTCTCAAATATTACTAAATTATTACTTTGTAACACATGCCAAAACTGACTTCTCTTTAGACTCTTATTACTAAAATACACACATTGAACTAGGAAAAATATGTACCACAACATGTGCTTTTATACCCTTCAGTGCTTAACTGAAAAACTGAGTTGTACATTTGTCCATGAAATAATTTAACATATGTCAGCCAAACATATCTGTATCTTTATTTCAATTAAATTAAAAACAATCTGCAAGTATATTTATGCAACGTTCACTATATACACATGATTTATGCAACTGCAAGGCAATTCTATGTATGCTGATTAATCTATTGTTAGTAAAACATGACAAAAGCTATGGAAGTTGACCAGTGAGTGCTCCTTTTCACAAGTGACTGTTTTCATGGCATGACTGAAAAAGAATAGCTACTAGCCATGAAATGGATTATCAGTAAACCTTAAAAGAACATGACATAACCTAGCAGAGATTAACAGTCTTCTAAATGTAGTAGTATATTTACTTCAGATGATAGTGCTCCTTTTTAAAAAAAAATTCGCTGTCATCTTAATGATGTAAGACTTTCATCTGCTCTGTCTAAAGAAAGCAATAATTAGACATTATGCTTCCTGGCAAAAATTTATTTTTGAACTGGCACCATAATATTTCAGAAAATAATAATAAAGTACCTCTTTGGTGAAGCCTAGGTACCCCCTACTACTCACTGTAACAACTTGTAAACAGGACTGCAATACAGTGCTTTGCCTTAATTCTAGCTCAGTTAGGTACCACAGATCTTCCTCACAGTCCTTCTCATAATTTCAGGAAGGTATTTCAAAGCAGGGAGTAAAGCAAAGGAAAATTAAGAAGGATATAAAGTTCCCTGTTTGAGATTTTAAAAAAGTGCATAATGTTTTCATTCCAAAAACTGTGCCACTGCATGGAACTGATGGATACAAGACTGTTTTCCTTCCTGTACTGGACATTATTGATCATTACACAAACACAGTCTCTGCTCATTGGCCAAAGAAGTCTCTCAAGTCTGTTTTCTGGTACAATCAGCTGTCCAATTACTTTAGAACAATGTCCTGCATACTAAAACAAGAATAGCAAGTTAACAGGTTTTTCCACCAGACGTCTGTTTCTGCAATTCCATTTCTGTACACTGCATTTCGAATCTATTGGAGAGTTTTTAGTGTTTGGCATACACATCCCAACTCCTTGGCACCACCGCGTTCAGTGCATCCATTGCCAGCAACAGACGTAGCACCAGGAAAATGCGACTCCCAGCACAAGGGATAGTTCAGGAGGAGTGGGCATTCTCCAGCAACGGTGGTCCGTCACGATGCATTGATGGGTGCGTGTGCTCCCTTTTGTAAGTTTTTGGAGGAAGTTTTGGGATATGTTGAGAAGTGCTTTGTCGTGGAGGAACAGGTGGTCCAGCAACAGAATGGAGGTCCACATCTTGCGGTATCAAAGGTGGTGATGGAAGATGCCTCCGTGCTACATGTGGAGAAGGTGTCTGAGGGGGAGGGGGAGTAAACGGAGACGGACTGTTTGGGAAAAAGGTGTTACCAAGTTCACTTTTTCTCCCCAATGGTGGAGGTTGGAGGTGTAGTGGTGAGCTAGAGAAAACATCTGGAGTTCGCACAGGTTCTCGTGGTGGTAACACAGGAGGGCTTTCAGGGGGGTCAGAGATGCAGGTCCGGTCAGGCACCGAGTACCTTGGTGAATACACTTTAGAGGTTGGTTGCCTAGGAGGGATGGCTGGTGGGCTGTCCAGGTGCGTAGAAGTAATCTGAGGTACACAAACATTTCATTCAATAAAATTTTAGAGTGGCAGTAAAGAACAGGGCCCTGCTGTGAAATGGAAGCAGAGCTCCTGCCCTGCACATTGCTCTTATCCAGTTAAAGAGAAGACACAGCAAGCAGATGCAGAATGAAGATGGGGAGTTAAGGAAGCAAAAGGGAGTGGCGATGCCTGAAAAATATGTTTCTCAGAGTGATGCGGACAGAAAAGACAGACTGGATGTGCAGGGGGAGAGCAGGGGTATATCAATACATGAGTTAACAGCCAAGGATGGAAGGAATGAAGATGCACAAAGGCAAGGCAAAGAATGGTCAAAGCAACAATTCCCATGCTAGTTCCAGGTCTGCTTGCTGAGTAAGTGTGGATATCTTCCACCATCTCCCCAGTAACAAGCACTTGGTGTGGGTAATAACACCAGATATTTCTCCAAGAAAATGAGGAAAAGGGAGAGGTAGATAATGCTGAACAGGGAAAAAGAAAAAATAAACTGCGCTCAGAAGATGGAATTAAGTAGTCAGAAGTATTGAACGGTTCCCAAGCTGCAGACCACAGTGACAGGGCAATTGGTCTCCAACACCCTATCACATATACAATGTTTTCAGTTACATTTTGGTAGGAACATGTGTTAAAACTCTGCTGGCTGACAGCATAGTCACCTGTAGTCTGAAAACAACAACTTGCTGAAGAGCCATGTACAAGCCCTCTTCAAAGACATGCATGCTCTGAAGTAATTTTGAGTGGGATTTTCAAATCCACCCAATTCCATGAAGTCACAAACCAGCTCCCACTGAAATCAAGAGATGTTTGACACTGTCTGCAACAAAGGCTGGATCAGATTCCAAATGCCAGGCAAATGCAAAAGGAAAATGTAGCAATGGCTCAAGCAGGCAGGCAGACAGGACAGGTAATCAAGAAGGGAAAGAAAGCACTGAGCACCACAGCATTAGGGTAAAATACTCTAACGAACCTTTTCAGAGGACTGAGGTGTGTACATCACTTTCCATCACTACTATTCTTCAGTTCTTTACCCCCACTCATACACCCCAAAATGATACTCTGGGACAATTACCACAGACGGAAACATCTGCCTGAAGCCTCAAGTTCTTGCAGGCCCGAGCATAGCGGATCAGTAGACAAGAGACATCTCTAACCCTAAATTTAGGTCCCATCTGTTAATTTTCATTCATTTGGGATCAGGACATAATGAGGCAGAGCTGTGAAGGCTTGAAATATATGGCTGCTTACACTTTCACATGCAGTTCTTCAAAAATACATGTACTATCTTTAAAACTTACTGTTCTATCATACCCTGGCCCTCTGCTCCCAGAAAAAAAATGCCCTTTTTTTCTCCTTACTTACTTTTGATGGAGAGGATTCAGCTGGGGCAGACTCTGGTCGTCTTCGTGGAGGAACTGGAGGGGGGACATGAGCTTCATCTGAATTTTTGGTAAAGTTTATGGATGACACAGAAGCAGATCCTAGTGAATATAGAAAAAAAAAATCCTGATAATGATGAACTTTTGTTTGACTCAGTATATCTCCTTTATTGCTGCCAACAGAGGTGTCACAAATAAAGTAACTGCTCATAAGAAGCAGCATGAATCAATAAGGTGCTAAAGAAAGACAATGAAATGACCCTCTAACTTGCAGCTTCCAGACAAACTGCTTTTCTGAGCTGCAATCTTCTCTGTGGCCATTAGTTCCGGCACATTCTTAAGTAATCCTCGAGACCAAAACCACACCACAAAGCTGTTCTTGTATCACAACAGCACTAAAACAATATCCTGAACCTGCAGTCGATGGGCCAACCCAACAACAAAGAAGTATCTTCTTCTGAAGAGGTATTCCAGAGACCTGGCTTGGACACTCGGCAATGTCACTGCTCTGCTAAGCAACTTCTGCTTTTAGAATCATAGAATTATTTAGGTTGGAAAAGACTTTTAAGATCATCGAGTCCAACCATTAACCTAACATTACCAAGTCCACCATTAAACCAATTAAGGGTAGAGTAATAATTAATTTCATGTTTCCTGGCTTGGTGGCTAGATTATTTTTTAATGAAAACTAGAATAGAATCATTAAGGTTGGAAAGGACCTCTAAGATCATCAGTCCAACCATCAACCCAACACCACCATGCCTACTAAACTATGTCCCAGAGTGCCACATCTACACATTTTCTGAACTCTTCCAGGGATGTTCACTCCACCAGCTCTCTGGGCAGCCTGTTCCAATGCTTGACGCTGGACGACCCTCTTCGTGAAGAAATTTTTCCTAATATCCAATCTAAACCTCCCCTGGCACAGCTTGAGCCCATTTCCTTTCATCCTATCACTAACTACTTGGGAGAAGAGACCAACACCTACCTCACTACAACCTCCTTTCAGGTAGGTAGAGAGCAATAAGGTCTCCCCTCAGCTTCCTCTTCTCCAGACTAAACAACCCCAGTTCCCTCAGCTGTTCCTTATAAGACTTGTTCTCCAGCCCCTTCACCAGCTTCGTTGCCCTTCTCTGAACACGCTCCAGCACCTCAATGTCCTTCTTGTATTGAGGGGCCCAAAACTGGACACAGGATTCGAGGTGCCGCCTCACCAGTGCCGAGTACAGGGGCACGATCACTGCCCTGCTCCTGCTGGCCACACTATTCCTGATGCAAGCCAGGATGCTGTTGGCCTTCTTGGCCACCTGGGCACACTGCCAGCTCATGTTCAGCTAGCTGTCAGCCAACACCCCCAGGTCCTTTTCAGCCAGGCAGCTTTCCAGCCACTCTTCCCCAAGCCTGTAGTGTCGCATGAGATTGATGTGACTGAAGTGCAGGACCCGGCAACTTGGACTTGTTAAACCTCACACAGTTGACCTCAGCCTATTGATCCAGCCTGTCCAGATCCCTCTCTGCAGGGCCTTCCTACCCTCGAGCAGATCGACACTCCCACCCAATTTGGCGTCATCTGCAAACTTACTGAAAGCGCACTCAATCCCCTCATCCAGATCACTGATAAAGATACTAAACATTAGCAAGTCATTTCACCTCCTTGTGGCAACCAGCTGAACACAGGACTAACCTTGTACTTCCTTTGAAAGCCCTCATACACGAAAGGAGGCTATGTCCACTATAAATTACTGAAAGCTCACCATAAAATATGAGTTTTCTTGTATGTTGGTGAAGACAGAAGAAAAATAGGTGTGGATGGGTCCTGATGGCTTTAAAGCAGGATAACACTGATTTTAAGTTCTGCAGGAAAACCATCCATGTGCACTGAAACCAATTTGGAATGGCAGACAGCAGAATAAGGCATCCACAAAACATTCATTGACAGTTTCTCTAAATACACGTAATACTCTCTATGTAACACAGCTACTTCTGTTCAGTTTCTCCCTTTACAATAAAAACTTATTTAAAAAAAAGGAATAAAACACACTGAAAGTTTTGCTGCCACAAGGTGACACAAGCAACTATTTCTATAGTCACTTTAGAAGACTAAACATGATTTCACCTGTTTAAGACCGCAAAATCTAATATGCACATTCTTGGCAGACTATCTACTAGCACCTACTTGCATGAAAAGGACTTGAAGGATCCGAGTCAAACACACTGCAGGCATCTGTAGTACTTGAAGTAGCAGAAGCAGGGGGAGGGGTCAAAGGTGTTCGGGGAGAGTTTGGTGCAGATGCGGTAGTTTCAGTCTCGCTCTCTGGGATGCGGCTGTAACTAATTTTCCTTGGCTCCTGTTGCAGGGGTGTAGGATGTCTCATGGTACCTGGCCTTGGATTAGAGGGACGAACACCTGGGGACTTGAGAGGATAGCTGTATTTTTTGGGCTGAAATGACAAAAAAGATAATATCAAACAAAATCAAAAGGCCGCAAGATCACCTAAATGTAGCTTTGTATTTAGGAAGTTAGAGATCTAAAATGACTTCTGCTATCTACAAAAGACAAATGTAAGCATTTTTTAAAAAAAAAATTTAAAATAAATTGAATACTAACAAATCTTGGTGGAGGCTTGACATTTCGTGGCTCTATCTCTAGTGACTTGTTGAACAGATAATCTGTAAATTCTGTCTCCATGCTGTTTCCCATTGGATTCAGGTTTTCAAAAAATCTCTGAAATACAAGAAGGTAGAAAACTTGTCAGCTAAGCTACTTCTTAGTAGCTTAGTACTGTTTGTTTCTACTGCACAAACGATCCCAACTGTTCCAGAGAGGAGAGAGAATGCTGGAGTCAGAAGTAATGTTAGATTTTTAAGTTATTAGATGTGTTTGTTGCTGTCCCTTTGCTGGGCATTGCTACTGCTATGCTTGGCCTGAAAACCAACTGTGCAAGTACCCTGAATACTTTCTGCAGTGCAGAAACCAGACCAGGTTAGCTCAAACACCTTCAGAAAAAGCTGTATGTAGGCCATCTTTACACTGATGCAGGGAAGATTGCTCTCATAATGCATTCTGTCAAACTCTGAGGAGAACAAATAAGAAAAGAAAAACTTGCAGAATCTCTTAAGATAACCTGTCCTGTGACCCTCTGAAAGCATATAGCTCAAAAGATATTAAAAAAAACCAACCAGAAAAGGAAAACAAACAGAGAGAGGACTGCTTAGAGAACACCACAGACCAAGGAGAACAAATGCCAGGAGAAAGAAAAGTGTGAGCATCATCACCACCAACACATAATTTAAGGGATTGAGAGCAGCCCTGCGGAGAAGGACTTGGGGGTACTGGGGGATGAAAAGCTGGACATGAGCCAACAATGTGCACTTGCAGCCCAGAAAGCCAACCGAATCCTGGGCTGCATCAAAAGCAGCGTGGCCATCAGGTTGAGGGAGGTGATTCTGCCCCTCTGCTCTACTCTGGTGAGACCTCACCTGGAGTACTGTGTCCAGCTCTGGGGCCCTCAGCACAAGAAGGACATGGACCTGTTGGGAGTGGGTCCAGAGGAGGGCCACAAAAATGATCCAAGGGCTGGAGCACCTCTCCTACGAGGACAGGCTGAGAGAGTTGGGGTTGTTCAGCCTGGAGAAGAGAAGGCTGCAGGGAGACCTTATTGCAGCCTTTCAGTACTTAAAGGGGGCCTATACGAAGGATGAGGGGCAATCTTTTTAGCAAGGCCTGTAGCAACAGGCCAAGGGGTAAGGGTTTTAAACTAAAGGAGGACAGATTTAGACTGGATATAAGGAAGAAATTTTTTACAATGAGGGTGGTGAGGCACTGGCACAGGTTGTCCAGAGAGGTAGTAGAGGCCCCATCCCTGGAAACATTCAAGGTCAGGTTGGATGGGGCTCTGAGCAACCTGATCTAGTTAAAGCTGTCCGTGCTCACTGCAGGGGTGTTGGGTTAGATGACCTCTAAAGGTCCCTTCCAACCCAAAGGATTCTATGATGTGTAAACAGTGCTATCAGGTAAACCTGGAAACATAAAGGCAGTGTAACAGAGGAGGAAAAAGACAACTGGGCTCACTGGACAAATAAACGCAACTGAGTGAGTAACAGTGAGAATCTGGTAGTTTCTGTTCCTGTTTAACACCAATCAGTAAGAAGATCTATCTACGAACATCCCAATAACTAGGGGAAAACAAAACAAAACCCACCAAACTGCAGGTGTTGCGCTTTCTGCCCTTTCTTACAGTGAGACCTGAGAGAGATTTTATGACAGACCTTCTGCTTGTCTCCGATTCAGTCTGACTGAACCTATGTGAATTCAGTCTATCCTTATGGTCTATCAGCTGACAGAGTCACCACAAAAGTAGCTCAGTGCATGGACTCCAGAAAATGATACCACTTACCCTGATGTCAAATTCCACTCTTAAACAATATGGCTGGTTCTGGTACTGCTGTATCTCTCCTGTTATTTCAGCTACCTTTCTTCTCTTGCTGAAGTTTATAAGTTCTTTCCCATGTCGCTTTAGAAATTCAGGGTTACCTTCTTCTGTTTTCAAAATGTTAGTTAAGTAAATCCCTAAAGAGCACACAGAAGAGGTTCTTAACATATAGTACAAAACAAGGAGGAAGTCACATGACTGGAATACAAAGAATTCTTGAAGAATTTAATTTGTGCATTCTAACTATTTAGAAGAATTCTCTGTTAGGGTCAATAAGAAAATCGCACCTGATTTTCAAGTAAGGGCAACAATTTAAATATTTTAATGTACCTTTTCCAGAAAGCTACTTTTTTTGCATCAAAATCTCAAAGTCTATGCATCTTTCTATTGTTTAGGAAGCTCACACAGCTGAACACTACTAGCATTTTCCAAGACAAGAGTACACTGAACTCAAGTGCCTTCTCTCAACTGTTCTGCCTCAATTCAGCTCTACTCCATTAGAGACCCAAGCTAAGCTACAAAAAAAATATTTTCAGGTTTTATTTTTCTTTTCCACTCTCCACTCCTGGCTTCATAATTGCATCAAATCATTTGAATATTATAAAGAAAAGAGCACTCTCAAGACCACAGATAATGTATCTGGAACTGTCATTGTGACTCTTCTAAGTATAACTTGAGAGAAATAACTGAAGCTATTAACATGTGATCCTGCTAACCTCTACTCTTCTCCAAAGCAGGACAGAAGGTTTCTTGGTTGATCTTATCTTTCTTTGCAGAGCTCTGGAGTAAATCTCTCCCCAGTCTGTAAAAGGCCTAAAAAGCTATCAACACTATTTTCTTTCAGTTTTGGCCTGAAGCCTATGCTGGACAAGTGTAATGTCCAGAGTTGGAACTAATCTGCAGCAAACATGCAAGTAGCCTGCTAAAGAACAGGGATGCCATGTGCTTAACTTCACAGTTTGCTAAATGTCAGAAATCCCAAGCAATCTACTTGAAAGAAGAACTGTTAAGTCTGATGATAAAAAAAGGCCTTCTTCCCAAACTCTGTTTTTATAGAAATAAGACTTTTTTATAAGAAACTATAAAAATTAAAACTCAAGCTTTATTTCTTGGAATTCTTGATGGGGAATGGGGTCCTTCTTTCTCTACTAGTCAATGGCAATAATATTTCTAACATGTCCACCTTCTATTTAAGGTATTTATGGTCACAACACAGTTCACACCACATTCAAAATAAAAATGAGTAGAGTATATAAATAAGATATTGCAGATATACTTATTTTTACTGCAAATAACATCTGTAATTAACAGTCACTTTAATTTTTCTTTACGTATATGCAATTAATGTCTGGGCATCTGAAATTCAAACCCAACTGTCCTGTTAAAACTGACTTCTCACTATTGTTCATACTCCGTTTAGTGCCCTGGCTCAATACTTTCTAAATGTTTATGCATGATACAGCTCATTCAAACCAAATGTACTTACCAAAAAAAGGCACACAAGGAGGATTAATGGACCTGAGTTTTGCCAAGTATTTCTTATAATGATCCTCACTCAGCTCATAAGCTTCTTCTAAAATCTTCTTCTGGCGACTTGGAATTTGCTAAAAAGAGAGATGAAACGGGTTGTTTGGAAAGACAGGGTAAAGGTGTAGCCCAGCAACAGCATTGAGAGTAATGGTCTCCCACTGATATTTAAGTCAGTGGCCATGAGGACAGTGCCCCACCATCTCAGGATCTTGCTATCTTTTTCTTCCTTTCTTAAGCAAGGATTGATTTCTTGCTTCTGAAACCCAGAAAAAAACCCTCTCTATTATACCCTGATTGCCAGCCGGGTTAGCTCAGTTGGTTAGAGCATGGTGCTAATAACGCCAAGTTCACAGGTTCAATCCCTGCTTACTGCAGGGGGGTTGGGCTCAATGATCTCTCAAGGTCCCTTCCAACCCAAAGCATTCTATGATTCTATGATTAATTTGTTGGGGGATTTACTTTTCTTGTTCCTTCTTTGAAGGATGTGCTTACTGAAAATACAGGCTTTTAGTGTAGCTAAGGTGCACTGCATTACACTTTCATACCAAAAATGGAAAACATTTCACTGTACCTCAAATGTGTGATCCAACCTATACACTGCTGCGGAGTTCATAGCACTGACAATCTCAAGGACACCATTAAAGTTGTTTAGCTCTTGAAAAACTTGCAGGATCTCAATTATCCGGCTCACTACAATTACTCTTTCCTCTAGGTTTTCTGTTTCTACAATGCATCTAAATACAAAAGAACATTCTATTTTGTATTAAAGCGTTGATGAGTTTTCCAAAATCAAATATTAAGTGGTAACACAAACAAATCTGAAAAGTTTATTAAATTACTTGACACAGTTTTGAAAATGTTTAGAGAACAAGCATTTAAAAAATATTCTAAGAATAAAAAGCTGAGACCATTATGGTAAAATTCTCATAGGGACCAGTTGTAGCATCTAAACATGACTTAAAACTGGAATTCTCCCAGAACAGAATTTTTCACAGTATACTTCCGAATAGACTGTAAATGTCCAGAAATGGAGTAGGTGCAGATTCAGGAAAGTCACTTACTTTTCAAACCACAAAGTGAGGTTTGTTGTATGCCTTATCATTTTAAGAAGGTTGGGAGAATTAAGTTCTTTATCTTCCTTTGTCCACACACTTCCAACTAGTTCAGATGGCTGCACAGCTCTAGAAAAGTAGATGTATGTATCAAAAAATGTAATTAAAAGCAGGAAAGAAGATATTATTTTCCCCAAACCTCTTTATTTCCAGTGAATTTGGAATTAATTTTTTAAAGAAATTCGTAAGGTATTGCTTCTCTTCTATAATGTTAGGCTCCCCAAATGACTAAGTGACCTTTATCTCTACACTTCTTTTTTAGTGTGTAAATATTTTTCAGTTTGACTGTTAACCACCTCTGTTCATCTAAATGAAGAATGAAGTCTACATCTCGTTCACCATAATAAAATGTGAGCTTCCAACTCCTGAACAACCTCTCACAGACAGCTGGTGAGATCTGACACGGTCCATAATTTGCTTCACAAACTAGGATACGAAGAAAACTGATTTAATGTTCATACTTCTCAAAGGTTGATCTACTCAGAAAATATCAAGAGAAACCTGCAGCACAATGCAATTAACAGTATGCATCAGTCACATGTACTGCACATTAACTTGGGGAGGATAAGGCAAATACTGTTTCTTAGAATTTTTTTTCTGAAAAAATAGCAATTAATATACAGCATTGGTAAAGTCCCTTGACCTACCGTGGGGCTTCACAGCAGGGGCCCGCAGAAACAATTTCATGCTGGAGAATATTTTGGTTTGTGTCATGTGTTTTTCAATGGAGGAAAGTTACCTGTAAAAATCTGACTCAAGTAAAGTGAGCTGCCGAGCAATTTCTATTGGATGCAAAGTGAGCAAGTCAAAAGTCTCTGTGTGTCCTGGTTTGCTTATATGCCATTCAATCGCCGGAGGTGGGCTCTCAAAAGTAATGTTGTGACTTGGCCCAATAGCTTGTGCCTGCTTTTTCCGGTTGATTATTTTTGTGATAGATTCAACCCATTTCTTCATTGCTTTGCCTAGCACACAGAGAGAAAATTACTATTTAGTTACTCTTAATACTGTTTTTCCAAGGGGTCAGTATAATTTAGAAACCTTTGGATTTAAACCCCAAACCTACTAAACTGAAGCAACCATATATTCTTCAGAAGTGCATAAGTGGTGGTCTCACACAAGCCTCAAAGCATTCAAACATTCCTCAAGAGCCAATACTGAGCACACCAAGTTTTCCCAAGCACAACTCAGAACACCCAAACTAGGCTCCTGCTCCAAATCAGGCATTTTCCTTTTCTGACTTTACAGCGAGTTTATGGGAACTAACCTTCTTTTGGCTAAAATGCACTTCTGTTAACACCCTGAACTTCATACTTTGGGCAAGAGTACATGCTTACCTCAGACAACACAGAAGGGCAAAATAACAAACAGGGAGAAGCTTCTCCTTCTACTGCATTTAGCATCAAAGCTCAGAATAAAACCCAAAGGCCAAATGCCTGTTTAGCCCTACATCATAAGGATTACATGCATAAGATGGCAAGTCATAGAATCACAGAATTGTTTCGGTTGGGAAAGACCTTTAAGATCATCCAGTCCAACCACTAACCTACACTACCAAGTCCACACTAAACCAATCAAGGGTAGACTAAACCACGTCCCAGAGTGCCACATCTACACATTTTCTGAACACCTCCAGGGATGGTGACTCCACTGCCTCTCTGAGCAGCCTGTTCCAATGCTTGACTACCCTTTC